TCTCTAACTCCTTTAGCGTAAGACGTTGTCTCTTCCTCTCTTAAAACTGGCGAGGCTTTTTATCATCCTTCTTGTCATCTTTAACAGATATCTTGATTGGGGTGGTTGAGATAGCCATTGAATCTTTAGCCGCATTTTTTGATGACTTGTCGGCCTTCTTCCAGTCCTTCTTATCTTTGCGTGGTTCTATAGTCACGGGACTTTTGCCGTCATGGGATTTCATACTGATCTCCATGTCATGGGCACGCGTAGCCAATTCCTCAAATGTGCGAGGTTTTATGCCTTGCAGAATGTAGAGCAGGCCCCAATGCATTCCCTGCATACACATCTCCACAGCAGATACTTCTGACAAACGGTCCTTGCAGTCAAGACTGAGGGCTCTCCACCGATTAATGTAGTCTATTACAGGCTCATCCTTCTATTGCTTCGTGTTAGTCAACTCTATCATACTAACAGTACGACAAGTGCTATAGAACCTGTTCAAGAATTCTCGTTCCATCTGGTCCCAACTATCAATTGATTCTGACTTTAGGTCAGTGTACCACTCGAACGCGTTTCCTTTAAGGGACCGGACAAACTGTTTGACTAGTAAGTCCCCCTCTGTTCCGGCATTGTTACAAGTCTCGACAAAATGGGCAATGTGTTGCTTGGGGTTACCTTTTCCGTCAAATTGCTGAATCTTCAGAGGTTGGTATCCTACATGCATTCTCATACTGTCGATTCTCCTTGTATAGGGCTTTGAGTACATGAGAGTGCTCTGTGAGACACCACCATATTGAGCTCGGATTATATTCGTTATCATATCTTGCAATTGTTCGACAGATAATGAAGAGACTGAAGAAGAGGTATGATTGGTTTGACCAGTCGCCTGTTCTATCCCCGGCGTTTGGTTTTGACTGGTCGCTTGTTCTGTTACCGGTGTCTGTTTGGGATTCTCCCTGTGAGTACCTTGTGCTGTAGAATTAGGATTCTCCGTTAGTATTGTTGTGGAAGATGTAGGTTTCCCAGACGGTGGTGGTGTGAAAGTTGCATGATTCCCGGATGGCATTGGTGTTTCACTGAAGGTCTGAACTTCCAATTTATTCATTAGTGTAGCGATTTGCAAGTCATTTTCTTCAATAGTCTTTGTGAGGTTCTCAATGGAATGAGCCATAGTTGCTAGTTGTTCCTCCACCGTAGCAGCTCCAGTCATCATAGCAGCAACCACATCTGAGTATGATAGGCCTTGAGAATCCACGTTCCTTGAAGTGATTGATTGCTCCGAAGTCTGACGTGGTGACTCTGGGGGTGAACCGACACTAGAGTGAGCATCATAGATAGAACGAAGTGAATCTGGTGGTGGAGCCTCCTCTGGAACAATGTCAAATGTTTTTGACATGTTGAGTTTTCACGTTCGCCGGTGTTGCAGGATTAGTTTTCACCACATCTTGCTGAAGTTTGAATGACGCCATCGCCTGGGACTTGCTACGTGTCACAGGGCCTGTCAAGGTACTTCCATCGCTTAATTTGGTCTTCGTGCCACTTTTCATGGTGGCTTTAGCGTCGACCTTTGTAATAGCGATGTTCTTTTGGGCTTTCTTGTCTGTCTGAATCTTAGGGGGAGCCATAGAATCTGATAGAGAAGAAACTTGATGGTAGGAGAAAGAAATGAGAGGCAAAGAAGGTCCCACCGGGCGTGCCACAAATTTGTACACACAAATTTTGTAAGTCTGCAATAGAAACAAAATATGGAGCAAAATAGAATTTTATTAATATGTGGAGTACAGTCCTTTGTAATATCTTTTACAAAAAAAGAATGGTCCTCTGATTCGATCTCCTTGTTTTTGGTTGGTTGGATCCAAGGGCTGCACGAGCTTGTTCTTGAATCACTGTGGAATTTGATGAAGAACGGCACGTTGTTGGATATGCTTGATGTTCTTCGCTTTTGGGTTTTGATTCTGAATTTGTGTCTGAATTCTGAGTCTCTGGATTTCTGAGTCTCTGAACTTCTGAATTCTGAATTTGTGTCTGAATTGTAGACTTCTGAATTCTGAATCCTCCCCCCTTTTTCTTCCTCCAAGCCTCTATTTATAGGCTTCTTGGATTAATAGGATGATGACACGTGTCATCTCCTGATAAGGAAAAAAACTATAACTGGGCCGGGCCGGTTATATTGTGATAATTATCCTTAAAGATAATTATTCAAAATATATTTTATTAGGAATAATTATCGTTTCATTTAATTATCTGGGCTGGGCTAATTAAATAATTTAAGTGGACCAAGCCTGGTAAAATAATTTATTTAAACATTAGGCCTATATTTAATGGGTCCATTCGTTAAAACCAAAGCCCACTAAATTTTAGTGTCTATAGTGCTGTTTGATAAAACTGAAAATTAAGCACTTAAAATTTCAAGTACTGAATTTTAAGCGCTGAAACTTTAGGCGCTGAATGTATTAATTTGAAAACCTGTTTGATAACGTTTTAATTTTAAGTGCTAAATTCATTAAGATTGTTTGTTATGTACAAAAGCTGAAATCTGAAAGTTGTACATATTATATTTTTGCCCTTAATATCTGATACTCGTAACAGTTTTATATTTTTAGTACAAAAATATTAATAAAATAACCACATTCACTCAATGAAATAAATAAATATGAAAATTTAAAATATATGGATTTTGTATTACATAATATTTATGTATGGTATCGAAATGGGCGTTACAAAAATTAAAGAAAGTAAAATTTAAAATATGAGTTTTGGATTGAATAATATTTAGGTAGGGTATTGAAAAGGGTGTTACAAAAATTAAAGAAAATAGTTGAAAAAGAATTCTTATTTAGGAATAAAATTCTATTATATAAATAATTGGTCGAAATTTTAAATCTATGGGTTTTGGATTACATAATATTTATGTAGGTATGGTGTTACAGAAATAAAAGAAAGTAAAATTTAAAATATGTGTTTTGAATTACATAATATTTATGTAGGGTATTAAAAAATGTGTTACAAGAATTAAGGAAAGTGAAAAGGAATTCTTATTAAATATTTAACATAATTCTATTAAATATTTGCAGGGCCTTGTGGGATTAGTTGAGGTGCTCACAAGCGGGCCCGAACACCCACGATTACCAAAAAAATAATAATAATAATTCTATTATATAAATAATTAATGAAAATTTAAATTATATAGGTTTTGGATATCAAAAAGAATGTTACAAAAATTAAAGAATGTAAAATTTAAAATATATGGGTTTTGGATTACATGGTAGGGTATTGAAAAGAGTGTTAAGAAAGTATCTGAAAGACAATTCTTCTCTGAGAATGTAATTCTATTATATAAATAATTACATAATATTTATGTAGGGTATAAAAATGGTGTGGGTATAAAACTGGTGGTAAAAATATTAAAGAAAATACGTGAAATTGAATAGAATTCTGTTATACAGTGAATCAATATAAATGGTAACCAAAAGGCTATATACGTGTTTAAAATATTTTAGGTAGAGAGAAATCCTAAAAGAGAGAACACAATTATATGAGGGTAGAGTAGTCATTAAAAAGTTATATTTTAAACCCAACCACTTACCGTCTTCTGCGATAAGCGATAACTAACCTTTCCAACGCTTAAAATTTTGGCCTCTTTTAAACGTTACTTATCATATTAAGCGGTATCCTAAAATTTTATCAAACAAACTTATATTTAAAAAATTACTTACTGTGTTCTGCATTCAGCGCTGAATTAGGAAATCAAACAGGCGCTTACGAAAATATAATCAAACGCCTACGAAAAGATCGCTTGGATTTAAGAAAAGGTCACTTGGATTTATCCATGGTTTGTTTAGTTTATTCCTTATCCCGAATATCCTATTTCGGTCGGATCTAAAATGAATTAGAATTAAGAAATAGGATTTGGTTTGTTTATATTTCAATATGTTATGTATATATAATATATAATGTCATTTTTCCCCTTCCTTTGAAGAGTGACACACAGATGCTCGGTTCGATTTATTTGTTTATCTCCCCATGAATCGTATGTTTGTGACAATAGGTACATAATTTTCGCAATTCCAATCGATTAGGCGTATTGTGTCGATTCTTTTGAGTAATATATTTGGAAATGCCCGTTGATGCCTTATTAACATTAACGCCGTTTCGGACACAACTGGTACATTCCAAAATTACCGTTACTCGGACATCTTTACCCTTGGCCATGAACCTCCCTTTGGATTTTTTATTTAATCAACCCTTCTGTTTTCGGTCCGAAACGAAGAAGAAGAAAGAAAAAAAATAGAAGTTACTAACTAGAAATCAAATAATGAAAGATTTCGCTACAATCAATAAAGTAATAATAAGTAATACAATGATTTCTAAATTATATTTCGAATCACAGTACAAGTACAGTATTTCATGTCCCGCATTTTTCGTTCTACTTCTATTATTAATTTAATTTTATCAAACAAACTTATATTTAAAAAATCACTTACCGTGTTGTGCATTCAGCGCTGAATTAGAAAATCAAACAGGCACTTACTTAGAGAGTTCTTTTTGTTGATTTATTTTTGGAGAGCTTTTGTTTTGGAAGACATCTTCAGTTTTGGTTTTAAATGACCCACTTTTACTCTGCCACGTGAAGTCGATGAAATATCCATTTTATATTTGTCCCGCCAAATAGCACAACTCGAAAGCAAAGGCCCAATATTAGATTTTCTATTTATAGCCTAATCGGACTATTCAGGCAACAGATTTTAGTTGGACTAATTTACTATAATAAATTACAATTATATGTGGAACAACGTTGATTTAATCGAATTAATAAATTACAATTATATGTGGAACAAATTGCTATAGTATTGTGTTTATTAAGGAGTATAGGGCAAACAAAGAATTTCCTATTTCATCCTCACAAGAAAACCAAGATAGCGTCATATACTTGGACCAAGGGACAAATCAAAGCCCACAAACACAACACCAAAGCAACCAAATTGGAATACTTTTATTTTTAAGAAAACACAAAACTAATAACTTGTACAAAGTTCTCATGTTTACAGAGATATATATATATACACACACACATACATATCTGTATAAAAACACATAGTACCTAACCAACAATTTCATCAAACATTTCACAGTCTTGTAATTTGTTCATAGAGGAAGATCAAAGCAAAGAGGGACAGAAATGGCAATGAGAACGTCTCGAACCAGTGGAACTGCACCGAGCCGTCCTCCCCGAGCCATGGGGCGTCCTGTGTATGAAGATTTTAAGCCCGTCTCAGAATTGAAAGAAGAAGAAGAAGGAGGAGCTGATGTACTATATCTTTATCTTCCCGGTACGTACACTATCCAAATTGCTAGGGCATGCATGTGATTAGATTTCACATGCACGTGGATTCGTAAGAGTTTAATAAAATATTTCAAAGAGACACATAAACATGAGTTGTGATAATTTCTCATCAACTTAGATGTAGTAATGCTTTTGAAAACTCTTTAGTTCGTGTATACGAAGAAAGGGGTAATTTGGTGCACGAAATTCTCGTCGTTACAAGTTCTGAAGAGGGTCAGATGTACGCAATCTTACCTTTGTATGGAGAGACTGTTTCCGATTTCGAATTCATGGCGCCCCTATGTTTTTAGAACATTCATTTATTGAGCATAACATCTTTAATTTTGCGTCACATGACTTGGGTTTTCACATAAAAGTCCATTCAGCTTTAGTTGAAATCAGAATTAAATTAGTTTAAACTGGACTTCACATGAATTGAGTTGGGACTTTTTTGGGAATAATGTGTATTTATATCATTATATTTAATTAATTAGAGAAAGCCAGAAATTGTTAACTCTTTGATTTTGCTTAAATTGGTGCTAGACATTATTGGAAAAGTTTGGTACATAAATCTTATTTCTTAATTTCTAGTGCATATGTTTAATGTCTTTGAACCAAGAAGCTAGCATCTCTCATATATATGCATATTGGTAATTCTGTTTCTGGCTTAATTTTCCAGGTTTTATGAGGGAACAAGTAAAGGTTTCAACTGAAGGCCAGAATACACTTAGGGTTCGCGGGGAGCGCCTAGTTGGGGCGAACACATGGAGCCGTTTCCAGGAAGATTTTCCCATTCCAGAAAACTGCAATACGAGAGAGATCCGTGCCAGTTTTGAGGGTGGAACTCTTGCCATTACAATGCCGAGGAAAATCATCCCCCAAGTTAGCCCTAAGGTCGAAGCCAAGACAACCCGAGAAGCTCTGATCCCTCAGGAGGCCACGAGCAAGCAAAGAGATGCCAAGAATGTCCAGCCTTCGAGCCCTCCAAAACCTGCAAACCAGCCAATGCCTCAAAAAGTTCAATATGGCGGTACCCCTCCAAAGGATTCTCCAGTAAAGACTCAGAAGGGTCCTCAAGAAGACGTTCCAGCAAAATCTGATCTGAACGCTGATAACGCGAAGCAAAGAGACGCCAAGATTGTCCAGCCTTCGAGTCCTCCAAAACCTGCAAGCCAGCCAATGCCTCAAAAGGCTCAATATGACGGTGCCCCTCCAAAGGGTTCTCCAGTAAAGCCTCAGAAGGGACCTCAAGAAGACATTCAAACAAAATCTGATCCCAACGCTGAAAACGCGAAGCAAAGAGATACCAAGATTGTCCGGCCTCCGAGCCCTCAGAAAGCTGCAGGCGAGCCAATGCCTCGAAAGGTTCAAGAAGACAATATCCCTCCAAAAGGTACTCCAACCATCGGTGGCAACAAACAGACAGATGGGAGGAGTACTGGTACCCAAAAACAAACAGAAGAAAAGAGTACCCAACTTATGGAGACAAAACCTAGGAAACTTACGAGGAAGATCGTAGAGAAAGTAAAAGAAAGTGGTGATAAAAGAAAAGAATCAGTGGAGGCTAAAAAGAGAAGAGGAGAGAGTGACCGAATTGTCGGTACCCAAGAAGTAATTGCCGGTGGTAGTGGTAATAAACTGGAGAGTTATATACAGGCAGTGAAGGGTCTTGTCAGAGGCACGAGTGAAGAGAGACAACTGATGGTGAATATGGGTGTTGCTGCTCTGGTGATTGTGGCTCTTGGGGCTTCTATCGCCTACAACTTTGGGTCCTCTGGGAAATCCAAAGACTAGTTCTTTTAGTAGATCCATATTACATGTTACAATAATACATGGGTATATACACACTTTACTACCTCATGCTGTAAATAACAGTGCTTTCTGTCCATAACATGAATATTAATAAACAAAGTACATCAAGTGATAAAAACTTTCGCATTGACTTTTAGTTTTGCAACTACATTTGCATTTTCCAACCAAATTCAACCCAATGGGATAGCCTAACCTAACGGCAAAGACTCTCACCTCACATCCTGGAGGTCAAGAGCTAGGGAATTTTCCCGGTAATTGCCGAGTGCATGTGGAATAGGAAGACTACATGTGCTCAGTGGTCAACCACTCACTCCAAGTAACACCAGCTCCACTTGAGCAGTTTTCTCTGTTCTCCAAAACATAGACTGATTTGTGGGTTGATACAGCAAACTTCATGAGAAAATCAAATGAAATTCCATGCTCTAGATGGAAGATCACACAGCTTATGACAATTGACAAACTAATTCAAATACGCAAAAGAAGTTATCTGTAAGCACTTACCCAAAGAGTCATATCGTAATATGTATATATGAAGTCTCAAATAAATCCTAAATGGTCTAGAGAGAAGGAAACTTCACATATTGAAACATCAGCTTGTACAGCTAAAGTTTTGAAGTGGTACCTGTAGAAGAATTTACACTACCAGTTCTACCAATTAAACTCTGAATTTGTACCAACAAGAAAGCTTCTGTTCAGAGTAGTACCGATGGCATGACTGAGTTGCACGGATAGACCAGTTTCTGTTCAAAATCGTATTGGTGGAACATCCAAGTTGTGGATGGTGAGCAATAGAAAAAAGTAAAATGTACAAACGCAACAGTTACTGGACCAAGTTGTTCTGGTAGAAAATGTAAGATATACCAACAGAACTACCATGTACAGTTAGTTAAATATACAACTTTCCCAACTCAAATCTTTTCATGTCTTTTACAGTTCCTAGCATTTCTAAACACTTTTTAACACAAAGTACAACCATACCTACTTTCCAAGATAGATCCGAAACTCTAACTAGAATTACCACCTAAAACATAAATCCTGTAAGGTATCACTTATTGTGACCTAAAACAGTGAAAATTTTCAACAAGGTCTCCAAGCAATTCCACCTACAGCTTCAGTCTCCAATTCGAAAGGGAGAAGGCGAAGATTTAAAAGGAGCTCTAATTCCAATGTTCGAGGATATGACTTTCCTACTCCCTGACAACGAAGAAAGACTAATCTCGTCCTTAGTTGCCGAATCTAATGGGGGTTTCAATCCAACGGATCAACCGTAACGTAAAACAGAGAAAATTTTCAACAAGGTCTCCAAGCAATTCACCAACAGCTTCAATCTCCAATTGAATATCGTAAGTCGATCATGACACTCACAAACTAGACCCAAACATAGTAATTTTGTTCAAATTACACACTTATATTACAAAATTTGACTACTCACATATGTCCTAACATAAATAATCCCCCCTTCAATGGCCGAACCCAATGGAGTTTGATATGCTGTGGCGGAAGAAGGGAAAAAGAGCTCATAAAGAAACACAGAGTCATGATACATATATGATGTATCAGTAAGGTATCCAGTCCCAAGATAAGTTACCTTTCTGTGATTTCAGAAAAGAATGTGAAAATGCTATGGTTTAAAAAAATACCCAAACAAAAGGAAGAAACAAGAACAAACTAGATAGTTTTCATCCCAAAAGGATAGAATTGGTTGTGGCCTACATGCATATGCTTGGACCTTTTAGATATAAACATAGAAACATGCACATATAATTATACTTTCCTATGAAATTTTCATATTTCCCTTAATACAACAAATATGTGATATAACAAAAGGAACCTTTATTTTTTTTTTTTATAACTAACAAAAGGAACCTTTATGTTGAATAACACTAAAAAGAATTACTAGTGCAGATGAAGAATGTAAGTTGTTCCAATACCTTTTTATCATTTTCTTAAATATATTTTCTTCTTATACGATCCAAATAAGACACTTTCTAAAATGAAATTTATGACTCAAAGTAGTTTATCTATATTAGGCGCATTAGCATTAGCAAACTTCTTCAAAGAAAACATATAAAGAAATGATATTCGTAGATGAAGCAGGCATTTAAAGTGAAAGTGTTCTCCAAAGAGCACTTTACCAGCAAAGCTTCCTGCCTACATAGAAAACTCTTTTAGTTTGTTTGTCCAATGAAGTGCAAGCGAAATGAAAGAAATTCCTAAACCCCAGGCAATATAATATCACACACACTATAACCATATGCAGAGTGGTGCAAAAAATAAAAAAATAAAAAACCATATGCAGAGTAGGCTGGTTTATTAAGTGAAAAATGCTCACATCAACGACAGGTAGAAAAAGAAACACCCAATCAGCCTGCCTTACACAACCCAAAATTTGGTCCTTCAACCTGAGACCCAACCCATTTTCCAAATCACCAAATCTGGACCACTTGAATTATCAATGTATGGTCTGGTGAAAACACGACCTAGGTATCAGTCCTTGCAAGCCTATTCGGGTTTGGAGTTTATTTGTGCTCCAACCGTTTGGACAGGGTTAGAGGACTGGTACATATTTTGGAGGAGAAAACACAAACTAATGTGCTGTTTAGCAGGCTTTGTTAAAACTTTAGTAATTCATTAAGTTGGTTGGCCACATACAGTGACGGACCCAGAAAATTATGTGAAGGGGATAGGGCAGTGGCAAACTTACATAGTGGGGTTATTTTGTAAATTTCAATGGGGGCAATTTCAAAATTCTATGGGTAGATAATACAAAATAAATAAATAAATAAATTCAGGGGCATATAATACAAAAACAAAAAAATTGAGTGGGGGTGGATGCCCCCCCCCCCCCCCCCCACTGAGCCCTCAATAGATCCGTGCCTGGCCACACATATCCCAACAAAAATATACAGTATTCCTGGCCAACAATAATCTTTTAGAAATAACCTATTAATATGAAAAGTCATTCAGCTGAAATGAGAGAAGGAAATTTCCAACATAAATTAAATTATTAAGGAGTTATATCTAATGGTACTCACCATTAACACCATCAGCAAATACACAAATACTAGTTTCCTGTTCAACTACAGATTTATTTTTTATTTTGGATGATTTACCAGAAGGTTTCATCTTCTTTAAAGGTTTCCTGACCTTCTCTGCCTCCAATTCCAGTCCCTTCTCGGAAGGTTTCCGTCTTCTTTTCACGCTCGTTCCTCCAGTGTCCTCAGCAGCAGAATTATCCATTGCTGCATAAGAGTTGAACAGAGTTACACATTTATTATCTCAATACAAGCTTAGGTCAGTAGCTAAAACAATTAAAGGTGCATATAAATGTCCGCATGAAATAAATCAGAATTCATTCTATTTACACATCATATAATATGAGCCCATTCCACCACTTTCCTTTTTACGGCATCCTTGTCCAATTATTATACATTTTTAAGAGGAATGAATAACCTTCATCTGCAATAAAGGATGAATTTTGTGCTTTCAAATACTGTAGTTACCAAAATAATTGTATCAGGTTCATTAATGTGCTGGGAAAGAAAAAAAAAAAAAAAAAAAAAAATTGCTTTCCTCTAGTTGCTTTCTGACAAATATAGCATAGTACTATGACCTTTGGAACTACCAGTGCTAGTTTTGAGATAAAATTGGTAGCACATCATCTGAACCAGACAAAAGCAAAGTCTATCTCATTCTGTAACTGGACAGAACGTTTGAAAGTCACCTTAAGATCCCTGAGATAAGTAATCAAATCGATTGCACAATCATAATAATCAAAGTAGACTGGCTTGCCAGAAACACCCGCCAGACTTTTTCACTGTGATAAACATGTAACATATAATACGAAGGGTCATCTAATAGAGCAAGCTTCGATTCCAAACTCACTCAGGTAAACCAGACAGGAAGTGGTTTGCAATATTAGCACATTGGTTATCGAAACATTTCAGATACTGGTGGGATAAGGCTACAAGGGCCACTTGGGTCGATTTAGGACAAGGCTGACCCACACCAAATCAAGGTAAGTTCGACCTCTTAGGTTATGTATAAACCCTGAAATCAAGTCTGGTAAAGTGGTACCGAGATCAATCACCCTGATCTACCTAAAGAATTGACCTATTGAAGGCAGGTCTTGCCTCCCTATAATTAATGAAGATTCTATGAATGACAACAGATATTTTGTAATATATACAAATTAAGAATATGTTTAAATTTACTAATGATAATAAGAATATACTTTGAATAGAAGAGTATACGCGGCATACATAAAAGCATAAAACATCTACTTAAAATTTCCTAAGAATTACAAAAATCAACTTTAAGCATATTTATATGACTATAAATATGGCCATGTAAAGATATATGTACAGTATATTGCAAATAAATTAATGACACTTTCATATATAGAGGAAATAATATTAAAACAAAGCCAGGCAAAAGCCAAGGTACATGTGTAGTATTTAAGCACTTTCATCCACTAGAGTAACCCTCACTAACCATATTTATCACCCAAGGTATCAACAAAGCAAAGGCCAGTATTAGATGACTATACAATTATTTGTTATATATCGAAAAACACTTTCATGACAAAGCCAAAGAAAGTACTTCCATTAACTTCTAGTGAAAAGTCAAATATACGTCTAATAACCATTACTCACTTGTTTCTTGTTAAAAACTAAATATTAAGTAAAAATAAATAATAAGAGAAAAGTAAAGAAGTACAAAAACAATAGTTTAAGACCTCAACCTTCAATTAAAACTCTTTTTTCCTTTCTCAACTCAGTTTTAACCATTATAAACAGAACCAATCACCAAAAACATCAAGAAAGGAAGACCTACTTAGTACTACGGATAACTATATAATGATTCGCTATTTTCCGGAAAACACATCTAAAACAAATCCAAGTACTGTCATAACTTCACAAGTTTATATGATAAGTTAAATATAGATTTCAAAAACAATACCCGCTTGTTTCTTTCACATAATAAGATAAAACAATAAGCGAACGGGAGAATAAAGGAAGTACAGAACCATATTTTCTATACCTTATACCTCAATTTCAACTCATTTTTAAGTAACTGTGATTTGCCTGATCAGTTGTAATTTATCTGTCATCTCATAGGTTTGCTTCTAATATTGTTTTTCTTGCTTTTATTTTGTTTTCCTTGAGGAGATGGGTAAACTCAGTCTTAACTCTAAAGTTAGATTTTTGAATTTTCTATTCTTGGGTTATGAAAATATCTACGTTACATCGACTCTTCAAAATTACAAGAAATACTGGTGTCAAATACACGACACTCGGACATTGGTATGATGCATGTCTAATGCATTTAATGGTACATGTATCTAAAAGACATCCAATAAATTTTTTTTAATTTTTTTTTATTGCTTCAATATGAGCGAAGCACTTATATCTGAACACTATGCAACATAAAAACATCATACTAATATTTAGCAACGTCCTTCTGTCCATCTATGTGGACTGTGGAGATTTGATATAGCCGATGCTTGGACACATAACGCATCCAATACACGTACCCAAATCCATGTAATATAGAAGAAAAATGGTTTAAACTTTTGTAAATTCCACTATGTGACCATCTAGTAATAGTACTCTTATACTCCTGTTCTGCAACTACCCTCGGCCGATAGGATTCTAAGAAGCAAGTTCTTAGTTGAGAATTCAATTCTATATAGGATGTGTCTTGGCCTTTGTTATGAAGTAAGCATAAGCAGGCAAAACATTTAACCCTGAAATATGAATTCAAGCTAACTTATAATGTTCAATTATATACATACAAGGCATAATGTTTACCTTCGATTGGACTGCCTACATGGTTCATCGCTTGCCCATTAAGCCCTGCCTCTTCTGAAAGAGGGGATCCAGAATGGTTGCTGTCCCCCAACTTTGAAGAACTTCCAACACACTTGTCATGCTGCTCAGGAACATCGGGGCAAGGAACGGCAGGCAAAAAGCATATTTCTTCCTGTGATATATCTGAATCACTGAAAGCTGAATCATTCTCCACCGTCACAATATCAACTTCATCATCTTCATTAACATCTGATTCTTTCACCTGCAAGTAGGCATACATTTTAGAAACAGCAGAATGAACAAATGAAGTTCTACCCAGTAAAACTTTTGCTTTAACCTTTTCAGCCTCAGGCACCAGATCAAATTCGTCTTCACGTTCTACATACTCCTCATTTTCCTCAAGTTCCTTAAAATCTGGAGCGAATGCACTCCAGTTTTCAGTGTAATCCTTAGCCCAAATATAAACCAAGCCAGTTAGGGAAACAGAGACAACAACAGGGTGAACAGGATGCCATGTTAAATCTATTAGCGCTTCCTTTGGACCTTCAAGGATTTTTACAAGATGCCCAGCCCTATCCCATATGTAGATCTTGTGCTCTCCTTTACTCGCAGAACCGCCAATAACCCACTCGCCATCACCACTGAAGCATGGTGCTTTCCACTGCATTTTGGTGATGGAATCTTGAAATTCCCTGAATAATGTTAAGCACTTTGATCCAACAGCTTTTAACTTGTCAACCCCATCTAGCTCATCTGATGTATTAGGTGATTCATCAAGGGCCTTAAGACAATCTTTCAAGGGTAGAAGGTTCTCAAAGATCCTGATTGTACGATCATTGGAGTTGGTCAAAAGATACTGCCCACTCCTGCTGAATGAAATATTCTTAATTACAGCACCCCCAGAAATGGGAACAATGCCACGTACTTCAATGTTCTTGTGATCTATGATAAGTATTTCTCCTTTGGAATTCCCAACATAAACCAGATCACCATACTTGTTAAAGCATGCAGCAGTTGGAGTAAATGGCGCAGATCCATCTGCAAATTTTCCGCGTGATGGAGGGGCAACTCCGCTGCCTGTGTCAGACAAGGAGACCGGAAGCACAGTTGTGCTTCCAGTGTTCAAGTCAACAATCATGGGAGCAGATGAGAGAGGGCATGCCAGACAAAGAGATGGAGAAGAGGAACCAGGATGTAGACGAGCTTGTAATGGGGTTTGCTGCAGAGTTGTTCGTGTTATCTTCTCTCCTTTGACAACATCCCAAAGCGTTAATGACTTGTCAGCAGCAGACACAAGTATGCGGTGACCATACTTTGACCAACAGACACTTGTTATGGCAGCAACACAGTCCTTATCTCGGAGTTCCTTAGATATGCCCCTGGTCTCAAAATCCCATATAATGCAGCTTCCATCAGAGCACCCAGCTAGCAAAGAACAACCAATTCAAGAATCAAATGGTGAGGAGGTAGGATTTAAAGATACCTTGCATCTAAAAGCATGTAAACTTCTCTAGTAAATATAACTAAATGCTGAGTTCAAGGATTAATGAAAGAAATGCAGTTGGAGGAATAGAAGAAGCAACACAATGGTTGCAAAGAAGAAAATGAAAAGGAATATTACATTGCTATAACCCTAAAAAGTTGTAATATTCTATATCTTTTTCACCTTGCAATGATGACAATGACATAATGACATTAATGATGATGATGATGATACAAAAAGATATATATATATAGAGAGAGAGGGAGGGGGGTGGGGGGGGGGGGGGGGGAGGAGGGAGCTAGGGGTATTCAAATTTTGCACCTGAGGCTTGAAAATTGAATTTCCTTTTTTTTTTAAATGCTCGAAAATTGAATGTTGACGGCGAAGTTGTTAAATAATAAAAAAGTAACTAGAAACAAGACTGAAAGCAAAATATGCATCTCCAAACCAACATATAAAAGTAAAAATAAATAAATTGACGTTAAACATTGTATTTAACTATTGAGTTTTACCTACTTCAACAGGTGGTCATTGAGCAAAAAGAATATGAAATCAAACAATTGTATTGGAAATTAATTTGAAATCATTGCAGGGAGAAGAATGTCAAGCTATCATTTCACTCAGGCAACAACGAAGAGGTTTAAAAGCTATCATTTCACGCAGGCAACTACGAAGAGGTTTAAAGAGCCAGGCAGCCAAATGATCTCTCATGAACTTAGAAAAAGGACTAGATGTGTCTGGTGATGTAGCCATGTCCAGAAAACCCACTCACCTAATGGTCCTAACCCATTCCGCTAAAACGAAAGCCAAAGCCCTTTAATATCCACTTCTCCACGGTGGCTTGCTACCACATCCTTAAAGAAGGCATTTGACTAGTAGAATACTAGAATGGCAGCAATAAGCAGCACATACCAAAATACCAGTGAAAACTGGATCGTTTTCCTATTCCTCCAGAGCAGTCACTTTGTGCAAAATAAATAAAAAAGTAGTTCTGTGACTTTTATCTCCAGTCTTCCTCCCCCGTCACCCCGCATAGGTGATACATAGGTGAGTCAAGTTTGTCTCAAACTGATAACAGGCTTTTAGCAACCTAGGTGTTAAGACAATTTTGTTTTAGCTAATATATACACCAACGTTTTGATCTTATGGATCAGTTTGCCAATCCTAGTGTTAAATCTCAACTAATCAAGCTCGTTATTATTCTTGACTTCATTTGCATTGCGCATGCCCGCAATTATAAAGCATTAAATGACGTCTAAAAATCAAAATGTGAGCCATGTCAAGTAATCAAACTTTGAAGAAACATCAAACATAATACAATGCTGTCAAATGTGATAGTTGAACTATATCGAAGTAGACAAATGATATAGTTTGAACTTTGATCCAATGATTCCTTATTCATCTAGAGGGGGTGAATAGGTCTACTTGCTTCTTTGGTAACTGATTTAATTTCCTTACTTACCAATATATATATATATATATATATATATATATATAAATCCTCAATCAATCAAGCATCATGCCAACAATCACACCAAGTGAAAGCAAAAGCAAGTAAATGAAAGAACAAGAATATTTTTACATGAAAAACCTCGACAAGAAAAAACATTGAGACCTAATCCGGAGCTAAGTAATCACCTATTTAGGAGAAAAGGTTCTATGAACTCAGATTTAAGCTCAGATCCTTTTGCCAAGATATGGTTGCTGACACTTGATTTTCCACTCAATCAGTACAAGGCGGTTTAAATGTTGACCCTCAGTTAAGTGATCAAACACAATAAATCTCATTACTCTTTAACTCAATCACAAATATATATGAATGACCTCTAATAAATCTCCTACTTATGAATGAAGAAAGTTCTCAATTCCATGAAAAACTAGGGTTTAGATATACCTAGATGTTTTCTCTCTTTCTATTATTTTTTCACACCTAAAATCACCCTAACTACCTGTTTTTATAGTTGCCAAAAAGTTTTTTCGAAGTAATCGCCGCTATGGAATCAAAATTTAAGGAATTTGGATTACGGACAGGTCAGACTGATGCAAGCCAGTCATTGGACTAGTGCAAGTCGTCACTAGACATAGTTGGACCACTGCAAGTCCATTCTGGTTTTCAACATGGTTTAACATAGCACACTTATCAAAAAAAAAAAAAACATAGCACACTTAGACCAGTGCAAGTAAACAGACCTGTGCAAGTGGCCACTGTTTTGAATCCTGGGTAATCCAATGGCTAGCCGGACCAATGCAAAAATCCCTATGGAGCAGTGCAATTTCATACTCTTTTATAAATGTGATGTTTTAATCCATAACTGAAATATAAAAACACTTCATCAATTACCAATTAAGTACCATGCCTAGGTTAAGAAAGGTCCAAAATATCTAAGTCATTACCAACCTAACTCCGAAGGTCTCTAAGGTCTCAATTACCTTTTTCTAACTTGATTGAGCATCACGGAACACTTCAATGAAATGTCATGATGTAGCTTCTGTTTCCATATCTGAGTCCCCAGTATTTTTTCATGACAAACCTTGACAAAGTATCCGGCTTAATAATATTCATAAAATCATTTTGTTCAGACCCTAACTAACTTAACTTGGAACAGAATTTGCCAATCATATAATAATTACACTAACAAAATTTACTTCTTTCGATGCGCATGAGTTTTCTTGCTAATCCATATTACATGCATATAGTCATTATGAGCTTTCCCTTCAATGTAGTAAAAAGTACAAGGTGTCAGCAATGTAACATTGTTATCCATAATATTTTGCCGTCTTAAGGACATTTAGTAATACTCAACAGGAGATGCCATTCTGCATTTCATGTGATATCAAAAATTAATATGCTGTGTAGGAAGGGGAAACAACAGTCAGCTTGCTTCAACATCTCTTTGTAGATCTTATGTGGCAAGCACAATTGTACAAACAGCACAACCAGTTATGTTAAAGCTGTATACTTTAGAAGCTCATCAAAGTAAACCCCACAGGGGAGTCCAAATACCCTTCCTACATGGTGTTACCTTTGTGTCATCGGGCCTCCTACATGGTTGCGCTAGCTTATATCTTATATTAATAATGTCCTCTCTCAAATATTGCATTTAATTATATCTCTAGCCCTCTATCCACCATGTGCTCAGCTTCAACAAGAATGTTAGTTGAATTGCCTTGCTAAGAGCACAACAACTGGTAAGAGCTGCTAGAGGCATTAAAAGTTTAAGTATTGGACTGTGTTATATTTGGTGTGGAGCATAGCTTCGATGCATCCAAAAACGCAAGAATTCCATGAAAAATAGAAATAGCAAGAAACACACTTGAGTAATAAAACGAGCAAGACAAACTATAGTTATTACATATAACATGATTTACAAGTTCACTGTGAGCACAATGCACGGGTGATAGGTCAATCACGAGAGTAGTATATTACTATATTATAAAATAAAAAAAAATGCTGCCAAAAGAGCCAAAAATAATGTAAATGAAAACTTGTTTAACAATTTCTTCAACAAAAATCATTTCACTGGACATAATCTAACCTGGTTATCTCATACAACCCTTAATTGAGACAGGACATCACTTTCTTAAGGTAGGACACCATACAAATTTGGTAGGTGAAGAGCTACCCTCAGTGTGTAGGCCAAGCCATAGAACCTGTACCCTACCTCCTCACTATAATTAGAACTACCATAACCAAATCAACTGCTTATAAGCTAGAAGATTTGAGATTAAGACACTACTCATGGACATCTTTAAAAGCAATTTCATCTACTTCAAAAACGAGCCAGCATTAGATTCCTATAGTTGATGAACCATGGGTGCAAACTTCAATCTGGGAATTATAAGCCATATATGACGTACAAACAGGGCAGTTATTGTGTCTTACCAATAATAACTGCAAATTCATTTCCAATATTACTGTAAGATCATAAACCACTCTATACCATGTCGCCATGCACTGTCTTTATTGTGCCATACTGAACCATTTTCCACCAATTTTATTGCAAGTGAAGTGACTACAGATCATATAAAAACTAATGCTATCAAAGTATGACCGGAAATGAGAACTTGCCCAGTCCCAAACACATCCTTACAGGTGTAGGCTTATCATTGTATTAATGAATTAAATCATAGCTAATGAATTGTATAGGCTTAAGACCAGCATCAATTGCAACAATCTCAACTCCTCCGGTCTAGTTAGAAATAGGAACTGTCTTCCAAACTTGTAGATGCTAACCAACATGTTTTCCCCATGTTTAACCCTCTAAAGAGTTTCAAAATTGATGGTGAAATAAACAAATACAATATTATACAAGAGATGTCAATTCTAATACCTCAGGAGGCACAGAATGCAACTTTACAAAACTTTTGCATCAGAGAACACAGTCAATATGTTTATGATAAGTAGAAATTTCAGTATACTGCGATCTATAAATGGTTCATGGAAGCAAAGGTCACCTTGGACACTAAGCTAGGCTACAAAATCAAATGAAAGCTTCGGCTCAACTAACATGACACAATCTAGGCAGCAGCTAAGCCAGTGATACGTGACATGGGTGCTTTTAGTTTTTAGGTATAGTGGCCTCCAATTTTAAAGCAATTGTGCGAAATAATGGGAAGAATTAATATAAGGGTGAGTTATACATACCACCATCCAATATGAGTGGTCGGGTGGAGGGCAACGGAAGAGAAGGTCACTAAGGATCATTAAGGCCATTACCCAATGTGGTCCCCGTTAATTGAGGATGCTAGGACGGATTCAGACCTAACCTTAGACATTATTTACACAAAGTGGCTTTTCTCAATATTTGAGTCCGGATTCTCATGCTTGACAGGCGACAGCCTTGCATTTACCAGTACACCAGGCAATGGCTCCCAGAGAAGGTCATTCAAATAACTAGACTGTTAGCACTTAAAATTGAATAACAAAATGTATGTGTGTGTGTTATATATCACTATTTAGTATTTACTAGTGGTTCATGCATAGATATAGTCATTTAGATAAACAGATTGGCATGTTATTATAAAAACGATCCAACATTTCTTATATCTACAAAGGCAGCCTAGTGCACTAGGCTCCCTCTATAAGGACATACTACAAACACTACACAAGGAAGAGTTCAGAATTTTAAAAACCTAAGCATCCAGACTACCAAGAAATTAGGAATTAAATGGGGAAAACAAGGTCATAACCATATTAACCTCATTGCACAAGACAGTGTCCAATCAGTAGCATACTTCAAATAAAAAACAAATGCTCAACCTCACAATGCCAAGCTCGTTGCCCATGTACTTCTTTCTTTTCTATCTTTTGTGGGTTTTTTCTTCCCTCCTTTTTCTGATTGTGTAGGTTGGTGGATTGCATATATACACATGATACTACTGTTTATAAAAGTGTGGAGTTAAGTAGCTAGGTAATGATGCACAATGCAATCTTGGAGAATCGACCCGCTGGCCAAATGGCACAAAAAAATCTCATCTTTTTGTTCCCAAATTTTTCCTAAATTGTCAAAATATCACCCTTCCGTAGCAAAAAATTTTAGCTACATTGTGAAAATATCACCCTTCTGATAGGGACAAAAAATAAAGACGAGACCCAAAAGGGGCCAAAAAACCATTGTCAAGTACAAAGAGAAAGTTACCAGCAAGAAGCGTTCCCCTGCGATTGAAGGCAATGCATTTCATTATCCCATGTTCCAGATACTCCTCTATCACTTCCGGAAAATCTCCCTGCAACGGATCTTCAGAACAAATACAAGCAAAAAAAAAAAAAAACATGTAAGAAACATATATATATATATTCAGCCATATATATCATAAAAGCAATAGTAATAAAGAGCGAGGGCGTCTACCGATTATTGAGGCGTTCATGGTGTCTTTAAGCTAGAGAGCAGAAGCTCCTAAAAAATGAAGGCTTTTCAACCGCATTTACAGCGGTGAGACGCCGGTCGATTTGAGAGAGTAAAGAATAAATCTTCCGGCGACGAGCGAATGATGTTTATGGAAAGGGTTGCGGCAATTGTGACGGAGACAGATATCTCGAAAACTTCGCCGATCCGTTGATTTTGCCGGCGACACAACGAGGCGTACTCAGCCCTCAGGTGAAGAAGGGCTTTCGAGGGGAGAGAGAGAGAGACTTTTAAGGGTTTCTGGGGAGAAATATATATGACCAGTGTAACGGATATAATATATATATATATATACACAAACACACAAATAGTTCAGTAGGTCTGTTTAGGCATGTTTATTAGGCTCCTTAACCAAGTTGAATTTGGATCGAGGAAAGTGTTGAACTGAACTCAACATCATAAACCAAAAACCTAAAAAAGGTCGATATGGGCCAAGACGAATACGGATACAATTATAGAACAAATTTATAAAATAAAATTTTCAAAAAAGAAAAGAAAAGAAAGAGAATAATACATTAAAAATAATAATAATAATAGTACTCCATAATTTTATTTTATTTTATCTAAATTATGGTGAATTATTACTAAATTATATTTAAATTAGAGGAAATCTTTTTACCGTGCTAAATATGATCCCTATACTTCCTAACCTAAAACATTATAGCCTTTTTTTCTTTTTCTTTTCTTTTCTGTTTTTTTTTTTTTTTTGTTAAATTTCATTTAATATCATACAATGACTATTATTTTTAAAAAGTGTTAAGCGCAGAAAACCCATATAATATGAGTTTTGTGCACAAATATTCCTTTTTTTTTAAATGTGCATTTTAGTTTATAAAATTTAAAAAATGAGCAAATAAGTCATCTGACCACTTTTTGATTAAAATTAACATAAAATAAATTTAAAAAATCCTAATTTGACCTTTACTCTTCCTTTTCTTTGTCCCTTCATTAATTGAGTTTCACCTGTTTAACAAATGGGTCTTCTCCAATTTTTTTATTTTTTAAATATTAAATAAATTTTTGCACACGTATTTTCTTTCTATTGAGCCACCTAACCGATCAAGATTGAAATACACGTGTCCTTGTCTAAAATGGTAGTCTTTTATGTAAATATAGGAGGTATTTACACTAAATTAAAAGTAAAGTGGTGTTTTATACCAGAACTTTTTTTGCACTAATTGTAGAGAGGTTTTTGCCACTTAACCTAAAAATAAAGCTTCAGTATTCCCTTCTAGTTTCAAATTGTATCCCCTTCCCTTTTTTAAGTGACAATAAGCAACATTTTTATTTATTATCTGTTGCAACAACTTACCTTCTTTAACTGATGGAAGATTGGCTATCGCCTATGAAATAAAATAAAATTACATAAATACCCATAATATGATAAATTGGAATTTAAATAAATAAATAAATATTTTAAAGACAAAAAAGAGCCATATGCCAGTGGAGGAAGAGGTGGTGGAGTCTTGGGTGGCAGTCCAGCACCAAATGGTAAGAGGCTGCGCATTTTTTCTTTTCTGTTTTTTCTTTCTCTCTCTGTTTTTTTTTTTTTTTCTTATAAGGTGGTGGTGGCGGCCGCGGCGGTAGTCTTGGGTGGCAATCTGCACCAAATGGTAAAAGGCTACTCTTTTTTTTTTCTTTTTTTGCTGAATTCTTTTCTTCTTCTTTTTTTCTGTTAAGTTAACCGCCAATAATTAAAAAAGAAGGGAATGAGATGAATAGACTTAGTAGAGTGGCATCTACTACCAGAGAGGTAGTGGTGGAGGAAGAGGTGGAGGAAGACGTGGGCTTAGTAATGGTTTTTTTTTTTTTTTTTTTTCTAAAATATATATATTTTTAATTAATTTCCTTATTACGGATATTTATGTAATTTTATTTCATCCCGGTTAATCCTCCATCAGCCAAAAATGGTAAGTCGCAACAAATAATAAATAAGTGGTTGTTTGTTGCCACAAAAATAAATAAATAAAATAAAAACGAGAGGAGGTATGGCGCGATGCTTTGAAACTAGAGGGGAGCTCAATGCACTAATGGCATCTCTACCGAATCTTCAATTCTTAATTGGTGCATTGAACGGATAATTTTGACACACAAGAGGTCGAATAATCAAATGTTTAGTTGTCATTTGGCATAGAATATATCTCAAATTTGACATACAAGTTTTTGATATGCAAAATGTATTTTTCATATTATTTTAATACATGGGTCTCACATATCATTAAAATTTGCATGGGAAAAAGACAAAATATTATGTATTGTTATTTTATTTTTGTCTAAAAGACAAAATATTAATAAATTTGATATATCATGCGGAGTTTTTTTATATATAGATTTGTCAAAATTTTATACGTCAATTTGCCACATTCTATTTTAAATGAATTTGACAAATAAAATCTGAAGATTCCGATGGAGATGTTCTAAGACCTTGAAATAAAGAAAATTTATAGCTTCGGGAAATATGATCCCAATTTCCTCGGATTCAAACTACATGTATATATTCAAATAAACAGAAGGAACCGGAAGAAATATGTATGTAAATTAGGATTTTAATTGAAGAAAAAGACCTGATCAAAAGGTATGTTAACAGCTTTGTCGATCCAGCCTATTTGGGAAGGTGTGAACCTCAAAAACTAGAACTTTAGTGGGGGCTAAGTTTAGCTTTGGTAAACTTTTTAACAAATTGTGGCCCAAAAACAAACAGCAGGAGTCTCTGGCCAAGCGGTTACAAGCGTTCAAAGTGGCGCGTAATTTGTTTCAACTGATTATCCCTGACGCCAGTATTCGTCAGCGTATTATTGCTGGCTGTCTATGGCTCTTTGATGGGCATCTTGTGGTAATTAAAGATTGGGAGGAAGGGCTGTTGTATTCGGATACACCATTTCAAGTTTCTCCCTTTTGGATCCAGCTCCTAGATGTGCAAGCCAACCTTTTGTCTAAAAAGGTAGGGCAAAAGATTGGCAATACCTTTGGCCGGTGTTTAAAGATGGATTTGCGTGATAAAGGTCTAGTGGTAGCTGACAGCAGTGTTCTTCGTCTTAAAGTAGAGTTGGATATCACGAAGCCTTTTAGGTGCCATAGTCTTTTAACGAGTCCGTCGGGAGTAAAGTCTTGGGTGTAAGTTTGATATGAGAAACTTCCAACTTTCTGCTTTGGTTGTGGCATAATAGGGCACCGTTGGAAATCTTGTTCGTCTGGGGCTTCGTTGGAACCCAGGGATCTAAAGGGCTATGGGAATTGGTTGGGGGTGGAAGGTTTTATAGAGAAAGACATTTGGAACACATATCGTGATATGGTAGATTTGGGTGATGGGAATGGGAAAAATTGGTTGTATGTGGAAGAAGGGGGTGTGGATGGTGAAAATGGATCTAGGGGACTAATTCTTTTTCTGGCTACTCCGAATACTTGACTGGACGTTTGATTCCCATGTTATGTTTGGTGTGCATGCTCTTGGTCTAGGGTTTCATCCGGGGGATTCTTCGGCTAATGTTGTGGTTGATTTGTCTAGTGTAGGTGGGTAGTCAAAATTGGGTGGTGATGATGGGGATTCTTTGGCTAATGTTGTGGGATTGCTTTGCGTGAACAGGGTACGGGAAGTGGTAAGGATGATTGCCAGTTTGGCTTGCCTGCTCCTCCATTGGAAGAATACATCTTCCCTGGCTCTTCCTCGCAGAGCTATGTGGCATCAGTGCAGAATAAGGAGCTTATAGCCTCTGATCCAATTACTTCTTCCATTAAGGGCCAAATCCTTCCATTGCAACGTTGAGATCAGATGTCCAAAGCATGGAAGAAGGGAAAGAATCGTGTGAAGCCATCATTTGGTTCGACTTCAGACTCCTCTGCCACTTTTCAGAGCCAAGGCTCATCCCCAGCTAGACAAGGCTGCAAGAGAAGGTAGTCTTCTTTGGGTGAATCTTATGGGGGTCGTTTGAGGGGGGAAAAGAAACAAAAAGCTTTGGTGGCCAGTTCTTTGCCGCCGTCAGTGGACATGGACTCTGCAGGCGTTGAGGTTGGTTTGCATTCTGAGTCTTCTGGCAAATCTAGGGCTCATCGTGGGGAGTTATATCATTCTGAGTCCTCCCAATCCTTTGCCTATAACGACCCAATCATTTGCCTTTCTTTCCTTTTTCCTGAAATTTTACGAATGAATTTTTTTCGTTTAATTTTCTTTTCTGAGCTCTGTTTCGTGTCGCTTAGTGTCATCTCTAGTGCTCGGAATTGGTTCCTGAGAGTCTTTTCCGTCGATTGACAACTTCCTTTGAGGATCGAGTCATTTTCACATTTTTCGTTTTTCGACACTATGCGCTATTTCGTCCTTTTCCCTATTCTGTCTTATCTCCGTTTGTCAGTTTTTGGCACAACCTCACTTCTCATGCTCGGTTGCACCCGGTTCTTCCTAGATAATTACCAGTTTACCCTTTTTGCCTTAAGTGCTCGTTTTTCTTCGTCATGCCGTTTCTCCTTCGTCCGGACTCCGAATCATGCGATTCTTGAGTCCATCTTGATTAGTTTTTCGTTGTCCTTCCAGCGGTGTGCTCGGTGGAACCCGAATCTACAGTTTTCAGAAATGACTATTTTGCCCCTGGGGGCTTAATTGCCATATTTTCGATCTTTTGCTTCCACATTAGTTCTTGTTGAGTTCCACGACCTCATGGAAGGTCACTTTGACTTCTTAGAGTCTTGTTTTTTATTTTCAATTCCGTATATCGGATCCGTTATCGGGTCAATCTTCGGTTCATCCAGGACACGCTGGCCTAAAAACCAGGGTCGTCACATTGCCGCTCAGCTAGCTCTGCTTATGGGTACTAGTACTCCCACTATCACTGACACCTTCTAGTTGTAGGTTGTTGTCAAGACTGTGATCTTGACTTTAGTGGGTGTTAGTTAGGCTTTGTTGGTTTTGTGTTAAATTGGCGCTGAATGTGTTTTTGTTACTCTGTCAATGGTCCCATGTTCTTGCCTTTGTAGATGCCGTATGGTGGTTATCTTGCCAGGTTAAAAATAATAATAATAAAAAAAAAAATAAAAAAAAATTCAGTAGTTATTTGTGAAGAATATAAATGAGGAACTCCCATGAGACTATATCATTTTTTTTTCAAGGCCACTGAAGAATCACTTTTCTTGTTTGCAAATTTTTTTATCGAATCAATAACTAGGAAGATATGGTCTTATATTCTCCTTGTTTAATAAATGGGTTAATTTAAAAAATGACAAGTTATTTTGCTTTATTATAAATACACATTGGGTTTTTAAATTTAATGCCAAATAAGTTCTCTAATACTTCTAAAATAATCTTGTTTATTTGTCTAGGCCTGAGGCGTTACTTGAATTATAATTCATCACAAGTCCTTTTTATGTTATGCGTGGGAGTATCGGATCGACATCCAAATTATATCTCCAATTCCAAATTCAAAGCTCCGATTCGGTGCCACCT